GCATCTGTGCGATTTTTTTTCGACAGACTTTCATGTTTCTAGTTCTTTCTTTTTTTAAAAGCTTTTTTTCATTCGAGATTGATTTGATTACTGGCAAATAAAAAATTCGAAGGTTTTTCGAAACGAGTATAGTTACCTATATATATATATTAATCAATTCACCCAAAGTAAGGCGTTGATGTCTCTAAAACGCAATAGGTTACTGAGAGTAAAGGAGAACGAAATGACTTTAGAAGGAACCAGAAACTCAATCCTAAACAGGAAACAATGGATAAACCTTTACTTCTGCATAAAAGATCGGCAAGGATTTCGAACCAGACGTACGTTATATATATATAGTCGAGTGTATATATATATATGTGAAAATATATAGAAAATAGGAAGGAACTGGTTAGGTAAATAATCCAAAGTCCTTTAGTATTTTAGTTATTATTTTTAAAAAATAGTGCTCGATACAAAAGTAGAGCATAAATATAATTATTTATTTAAAAATATGATTCCAAATCGCGACATAAGAAGTCCCATGTTTCAAAACAAGAGCCGAAAACTTCAATATAATTTTTTAAATTAAATTGAGTTAAAATCTCTAGTTCCATCTTCAAGCGAAATTTTTTTTTGGAATAACGTGTTTCTGAAATTTACGTGTTTTAAAAATTGAAATCAAAATTTCCATGGTAACAGCTAGGGCGAATTGTTTAAGTTGGGTAGGCGGGTGTTGGGTGTTAATAATAAGTATCAGTATAGAGTTACTTTCGTAGATGTCAAGTCAGGGAAAGGTGGGGTGTCTAAATTTGAAACGGAAGATGTATTAACCCTCGTCTAGTTTGCATGTCTATGGAGATTTATTTATTTTTTTATTTTATTTTTTTTATGAAAGGGATTTGTGCATATAAAAAAACTGTCGTAACGTTTGTTTTTTGACGACTTCATAAAGGGTTATCTTTTTTTATGGTATTTAAACTATTTATTTGGGCTATGGATTATAAAGGGTGTTATTGTATGCATGTTTTTAGTTAATTATTCAAACCATGAATCTGATGAGTGGGCTATGGATTAAACAAGTTATTATATTGTATGCTAGTTTTTAGCTAATAATTCAAACCAAAAATCTGATGATGCCTACAAAAAACCGTTAACTCGTGTCTATTGTTTAATAGATTATTATTATTATTTAGAAGCTTAATTATGTGCAATTTCTCATGGAGGCATAAAGGGCATGGGTCATCCCAAGTTTTACAAACAAGGCTAGAACATGTAAAATGTAGAGCTTATTTTAACTCAATTTAATTTAAATAATTATATTGAGGTTTTCGGCTCTTGTTTTGAAACATGGGACTTCTTATGTCGCGATTTGGAATCATATTTTTAAATAAATAATTATATATATATATATATATATATATATATATATACTAGCTTCTCCCGTCGAATTCGACGTATGAGGGTCAAGTAGATCAGTTCTTAGGAAACCGACAACACATGAGCTTTGATTATAGTGGTGAAGGTTTCGTGCAGGACCATCCACATTTTTTGAAGGGCCGAATACAGAGACCTGGTGTACTAAGTGACACAAGGTCCCCAAACGACTCTCCGCAGGTTTTGAATTTAGTCTTAAGGTGTGCCATATTTATGGGATAAAGTGCTCAATATTCAGAGATAGAGCGTGTGTAAATAGAAATATAAAAGTGAACATTGATGTCAACACTTAGAGGCGTTGATTGTGTCCAGCATGAAACAGCCTGTCGACTCTAAGTGTTGACTTCAATGTTCACAAAAGTTGATATATATATATATATATATATATATATATATATATATATATATATATATATATATATATATATATCAACTTGTCAGACGACATAACACCTAAGGCATGAAATAAAAAAATCACGAACCAGGAAAGAAAAAAGAATGAAAGACCTAACTCCTACCTACACAGTAAAGTGGTCAACGCCCAGATTACCTAGACAGACCAAGAAACGCTTCATAATGTCAACACTTAAGAAAAGACGGCTCGAGTCGTTAATCGAGTTTCACGCACTTGCGATCTTCAGACATCTACATATATATATGTTGCAGACCCGGCAGCGTGCAGTGCTGGTTTATTACAAAGTGGCCTTGTGCCAGACACCACACTAAACTACAGAGTCCACAAGCAATGTATAAAAAGAAATGCGTGAATGAACAGTGAGAGGAAAGGGGTCAATCAACGAGTGCATAAATTATAAACATCAAAGAGATAACCGGAATAAAATGACAAAGGCGTCTGTTTGTAAAACATGTGTAATTTTTATTAGATGGAAACAAGTAGATTATCTCGTGGTACGAGATCAGGGAAAAGTTCCGCGCCAAAATAGGATAGCAAGGTGAACAAGGCGGGAAAAAAGAGTTTTATAAGGTTCTGGAAAAAGGTACTCGTTAACAGAGGTGTATCTGCGCACAGATAGAAAGGAGTACTCACTGTGGATTTTTTTGGCGTTGAGAGTGTATGTGATTTTGTGTTTTTTTTTAATCTTTTTTTTATGTTCAGGTTCAAAGTAGGGTCTCAGAGTTTGGTCAGGTCTTGAATTAACTGTTGAAAATTTTAACGGATTGCTGTGGACGTCAAAAAGCCAAAAGGACATCGTTTTTTTAGCACAGCTTGCTTTTGCAGTTGGTTGCATCGTCTATGTGAAGTTACTTATGGCGAGTCCAGAAGGGACGAAGAATATCTGTTCGTCAGTAAGATATCCCTGTCTGTATTTAAGATTGACTGACGAGGGATAAATGTAAGTCACTTGTTGAATACGAAATTTTGCCCACGACTGTGTCGTGTGTCTCAAACGTCTTCTGGTCGAAAACGGAGAAGGTCTGACCTGCGGGTAGCAAGTTCGTTCGTCAATAGGATATCCCTGTCTGTATTTAAGATTGACTGACGAGGGATAAAAATAAGCCACTTGTTGAATACGAAGTTTTGCTCACGACTGTGTCGTGTGTCTCGAACGTCTTCTGGTCGAAAACGGAGAAGGTCTGACCTGCGGGCAGCTTCAAGACGAGAAGAAATCTTGGTACAGTGTGAGGTCGACATTGTTGAGATAAGATATTCCGGCCCGCATATGGGTTAAGGGCACGGAATAAATGAGTTGCCCGTCTAGTTAGGTCGAAAGTCGGGAGGCAACTGGCTTGCAAACGCTGTTCGTTTGAGACGCCGAGAAACGCGCGGGAAAAAATTCAAAATCTGTTAGGCTGACTTCATCAGTAGGAGCTAGCGAAGTTCCTCCTCCAGATTACTGCTACGTCTAAATGTAAGAGGGAGGAAGGGGTGCAAACCGCGCGCACACACGCACGAGTGTGAAAGGAAGGGAGGAAAACTCGCGCACGCGTAAAATGTAGATGGAATTAATGTGTTAATTCCATATATGTATATATATATATATATATGTATATGTGTGTGTGTGTGTCGGGTTTAAATCCCACTGTACATGTGTAGGCCTTTATAGTTCTGTTGTTAGTGAAGTATAAAATTATAGCTCACAAAATGTTAGGGCGATAAATATAATACAGTATTTGAAAAAGAAGTCAAGTTGAACAGTAAATGCAGCGTCCAAAACGATGTAATTTAACGCATATAAATCAATTTAGTAAACTTCGAGGAGTAATGGATAGCGGCTCGGATTGAGGAATCGGAGAGCCGAGTTCAAATTCGAGTCGCATCCATTACATTCACTTATGTGATAATACCCTTGGGAAAGGTGTGAATCCTCTTCTTCTCCCTCCAACTATGGGTAAATAGCAGGACAGACCGGGTTCTATAGCCTTGGATGGCAAATGGTCTACCGTAGAAAGAAATGGCAACCTACACCGGGAAAAAATCTGCCTCGTCAGTCATGTATCGAAAGATACATGATCGCTTGAACACCGTAGCCGACTTGTTCCTCCTCTAAAATTCTTAAAAAAAATTGTTTTCTTTAAGAACTTATCTATTCTTGTTGAAATATTTAATGTTAAGTATAAGTTATATAGAGACAGAAATCAAATTATATTAACATATGTCATGTTTATACTCGAGGCAAAATATATACATACGTCCTGTTTATACTCGAGGCAAAATATATACATACGTCCTGTTTATATTCGAGGCAAAAATTTAGATATACAACCGGTTTATACTGATATTTAGTTAAGACTATGAGAAAATTATATTATTCGGAGTAGACTGTTCTAGTTCCACGTGCCATGTCAGTTATCAGTTACCTCCTGTTAACTTCCCTCTGAAAGTTCTCCGCTGCCTTAACCAGGAATTGAACTTACGCTCTTTGGGTCCTGTCACTGAATTTACCTAACGCCTTTATCCACTGTGCCATCTTTGTCACCATATTAGTTACAACGTTTTTCAGTATCTGTCTATAGTGAGGAGGTATTATGTACACTTTTTACATTATTCGGACTATCCCAGTGAGCGAAATAAAGGGTTCATTTCGACATTCCAATCACCTGAAGAAGGCCGGAGCGTACAACGGCCGAAACGTTGTAATAAATATGGCGACAAAGATGAAGACAATAGTCCGAATAATGTAAATAATGTACATAATACCTCATCTCAAAAATATAGACAGATACTATGCGAAAATTACAGATTTTATTTTTATGGAAAATAGTTGTTTATATCAAAAACATATTTTTCATTTCGATAAATACATCTGGGAAACCTTTTCTAAATCAAATGTACCTTGCCATTATGACAAGAGAATCCGTTATAGAAAAGCTTGGATCAATTACACTATTTAAGAAATACACATCTATCTACATCTGTTACCTTTTTTTCATATCCAAGGAATAAACACGATAGTTTTTAAGCAATTAGTGGAGTTTTAAAATCCGATATTAATCCCTGTCTTTATAAATGTTATATTTAGTATGCTTTAAAACAAGCACTTGAACACGTGTAGCTATTAAATATAACGTTTACAGCAATGATATAATGTCTAATTAAAAACATCCGCTAATTACTGAAACAGTTATCTATCTATCTATCTATCTATCTATCTATCTATCTATCTATCTATCTATCTATCTATCTATCTATGTGTGTATTTGTGTGTGGGAGGCGATGATGGTGTGATATTGGGGCGCATTGCCTCTTTTATAAGTTTAAAGGAAACTGTAAAGTTTTAGTATATGCAATGGAAAAGTTAATTGACTATTTAACGATACCAACACATATGAAAAATAAATGAACAGTAAAAAATTACCAATATATATATATATATATATATATATAGTTCTCTTCAAAAGTATTGGAATGACAAGTCCAATTCCTTTGTTTTTGTTGTTCACATTTGGGTTTAATATCAAAAGATGGATATGAGATAGAAGCTTTTATTTACTGGTATTTAGATTTATATGTGCTAAACAACTTAGGACATTCCACCTTTTATTTGAACCCACCCATTTTTCCAAGTGAGCAAAATAATTGGAACATGTATCAAACAGCTGTTTCTTGTTGCCCAGGTGTTGCCTTGCAGAATTATTGTTTAAACATTAAATAACCCTTAATCCCTACACTTGGTTTTAGCTTTGGGTTTCACCTGTAAATACTGTATTTTTTCTTAAAACCGACACATAGACGAGAGTTGTCTATGGGAGAAAACTAGACCATTTTGAAGTTGAGAAAAGAAGGAAAATCTACCAGAGGCATTGGACAAACATTGGGCGTGTCCAACAGAATTTGGAAGGTCCTGAGAAAGAAAGAAACTATATGTGTACTGAGCAACACACATGGAACAGGTCAGTCAAGGAAAACAACAGCAGTCGATGACGGAAACAACGTGAAAGCTGCAAGGAAAAACCCAAAAGCAACAGTCAGTGAGTTCGATCCTCACTGAGTCCTCCATGCTTTCGGTCTCATGCCGCATCTAAACTACGCTTGGAAAATCTCTTATCTTCTTATCTACGACCATAAGTACTCATAAATTGTAATCCAAATATAGATTGGTCACTGATCCAACTAAATATTATCGAGTTGAACGAGAGGTTTCCATGCGACAAAATGTTCGCTATCAACTCAAATAAAACTGTAAACATTCACTTACCCGGTATTTACGTAAACGATTAATTTATACGAGGAAGTCGGAAAGTGATTGGCATGATCACGAGTATATATATATATATATATATATATATATATTCCAGGTGTAATAGCAAAACGGTCCAAATCGAGGAAAAGTAAAATTGTCCATTTGTTGGATTAAGCTTTGAACCCTTGTATCTTAGAAATGATTAAAGATATCTAATTGGAATTCTCCGAGGCTTTTATAACTCTATTGGACTCTACTTTGAGTTATAAGAATGTATAATTACTCTCCAAGCTTAATGGAAGAATCGTGATGAAATTGATCATAAACGAAATGTTTATCATTAAGAATCGGAAGCTCATGAAGGATTGAAATAAAGTTTATATATATATATATATATATATATATATATATATATATATATATATATATATATATATTACAGGATCATTTTCCAACTTATTCAAGATTATCTTCGCCCTCTCTAACCGCATATCGGGACATGATTTTGATGTATATATTTGAACTATTTGGGTGATATGTAACTGACTTCAAATTTCTGTTTTTCAGGAAATTTACTTTGGATAATCGAATATGCTTATTTCCTCCCTAATGGCTTGTATTACCGCAAAAGATGATGGGAATAAGAGGAAAGTATGACAACGAGACACATCTGCAACAAGTTAGCAACGAGATGCATGATTTTAATGAAACTTGGACTGAAAATGAAAAAGCTATTGAAAAGGTTGTCAGTTTTATGGAATGAAAGCCAGCATTCAGCTATGATGATTGCAATAACACTTTCAGAGTTAAAACGTGTCTTTTGTTTAAAAAAATTCAAGAATAAAAGCAAAACGAAATGCGGAAAAAGTTGAGAATGACATTAGAAGAGAAAGAATCATCATGCAACAGCGATTAAAAAATCCTCTTTACATTATTTGTTTTGCATACGTGTCATAATTAATTTAATGAATTTTCATTAACATTACATAATTTATTTCTTTTTCCTTAAAATCAATTCAATTCAATATTTCACTCACCATGAGCTTATTTTCTTTACAATAAAACACTGAAAATAAATGTTAAACCTGATTTCAGTTGTTTTATTTTAATCTAAATATAACCCCCCATACCTGGACTTTGTAACCAATTCCTCATATCCGGACGGCCTTCTTACTCCGGTTATCAGGGATTTTACTGTATATTTATCGTTTGTTCTTAAATGCAGTCCGTGTCGTCTGTCTTTGTTGTGTGCCCACATAAATTAAATGTTTGTCTTTATCTCTGAGATGAGGTATTATGATTACTTGAATTATTTACATTATTCGGACTGTTATCCTCATCTTCATTGCCATATTCACAACGTTTCAGCCTCTATATCTCAGAGATGAGGTATTATGATTACTTGTATTATTTACATTATTCGGACTGTTATCCTCATCTTCATTGCCATATTCACAACGTTTCGGCCTCTATATCTCTGAGATGAGGTATTATGATTACTTGCATTATTTACATTATTCAGATTGTTATCCTCATTTTCATTGCCATATTCACAACGTTTCGGCCGTTGTACGCCCCGGCCTTCTTTAGGTTCTGTATCTCATCTACAGACATTTTCTCACAGACGCGCCGTCGCCTCTCTCTGTCTGTTTTACAAATACTTTCATGGCAATTGCTCTGAGGAGCTGCATTCGCTGGTTACCAGACTTCATGAGTTCAAGCGCCCTACGAGGCTGGCATCCCGCTCTCACCCCTTCACTGTCGAAACTCTTAAATGTAGCCGTCTCTTCTACTCCAATAGCTTCATGTCTCTCACCTCTCGCCTGTGGAACTCCCTTCCCTATTCTAGTTTCCCTGAAAGCTATAATCTCCAGCTATTCAAGTGCAATGTTAATCGACATCTCCAGTTGCCTTGATCTATCCACTATCCTTCTCCTCATCCTTTCTTCTATCACTCCTATCTGATCTTTTTCTAAATTTTCTGTAACCCCTTGCGTCCTAGTGGCTTCCCGCCTTGCTTGGGGTGAAACGCTTAAAAAAAAAATCTCTGAGACGAGGTATTATGATTACTTGCATTATTTACTTTATTCAGACTGTTATCGTCATCTTCATTGCCATATTCTCAACGTTTCGGCCGTTGTACGCCCCGGCCTTCTTTAGGCTCTGTCTATATCTCTGAGATGAGGTATTATGATTACTTGCTTTATTTACATTATTCAGACTGTCATCCTTATCTTCATTGCCATATTCACAACGTTTCGGCTGTTTTCCGCCCCGGCCTTCTTCAGGTGATTGAAATTTCGGCTTCACGGCTTTCAACCAAGTTATATTGAGGAATTTGGTCAGGAGTTGCTCAGTGGTTGAACGATTCTAATACTATAACGCTAATCGATCTGATGATGATCACACGTAGGAAAGTCCCTTTTTATCCAACCAATATTTGACCATAAACTTGTTTTTGATACTCTATCTCTTAGTCGACTGAAGGAACTTACAGAACATTAATGGAGATCGACGATTTTTTACTTAATCTATGATTCTTTAGGGCAACGATCTCCGATAGGCCATCCAATTTGAGATGAATGTAAAAACGGACTATAGGAGTTGGTTCTGTATTTACTTTCAACAGGGCTTATTTATTTACTGGAGATAAGTAATGCACAAATCAATGTTTCACATTTGCCTGTTTCTGTCCAACTGGGAGATTTTATTCTTGACACTATATCCATGTACTTGTAAAATCTGTAATACCGATCTACTATAATGATCTCCTTGATATTATTTATTTGTCTACATCGTCTTCCTTTCACGCAGATATCTTTTCGTAGAACTCCACTGACATACTAGAGTGTAAGCTACTTGATCTGAGTGTGATATAATTTTTCTTTGCCATACGTTAATGAGTGTCATCTGCTCGTCATACATGCTCCGGTGTACAGAGCTCATTTGAGTAGAGGTGAACAAAAACATGCAAATTAGTCTATGCACTAAGTGACCCAGTCACATTCTGACAGGTGTCGCTGGCTAACGGTATTTTTTTTTTTTTTTTTTACTGTTCCCACAATTTCGTTTGGCTGAGACCACCCTGCCTCGTACCCCCTGGAGAACAGAATAGACCATGCAGATCTTTCCTCTGTCCTCCGCCTATATTTCCCCTTTAAATAACAATGCTTCATATATTTTATTTCCAGGAGAACTTTTATCTATCTTTCATCTATCTATCTCCAGTTTTCATTTTTATTTCCATCTATCTATCTCAGTTTTCATTATCTATCTATCTATCTATCTATCTATCTATCTCAGTTTTCATTATTTATCTATCTATCTATCTATCTATCTATCTATCTATCTATCTCAGTTTTCATTATCCATCCATCTATCTATCTATCTATCTATTTATCTATCCATCTATCTATCTCAGTTTTCATTATCCATTCCATCTATCATCTTTATCTATCTCCATCTATCTATCTATCTATCTCAGTTTTCATTATTTATCCATCTATCTATCTATCTATCTATCTATCTATCTCAGTTTTCATTTATCTATCTATCTCCATCTATCTATCTATCTATCTATCTATCTATCCATCTATCTATCTATCTCATCTCAGTTTTCATTATCTATCTATCTATCTATCATCTATCTATCTATCTATCTCATCTTCTATCATCCCTATTTATCTATCCATCTATCTATCTATCTATTTTCATTATTTATCCATCTATCTATCTATCTATCTATCTATCTATCTCAGTTTTCATTATTTATCTATCCATCTATCTATCTATCCATCCTTTCATTATCTATCCATCCATCTATCTATCTCAGTTTCCATCCATCCCATCTATCTATCTATCTATCTATCTTTTTCATCTATTTATTTATCTATCCATTTATCCATCCATCCATCTATCCATCTATCTATCTATCTCATTTTTTATTATTTCCATCTATCTATCTATCTATCTATCTCAGTTTTCATCATCTCAGTTTTCCCATTTTTCTTATCTATCTATCTCCATCTATCTATCCATCCATCTATCTATCCATCTTCCCATCTCATCTTTCATCCATCCATTCATCATCTATCTATCTATCTATCTATCTATCCATCTATCTATCCATCTATCTCATTTCATTATTATTTCTCCATCCATCCATCTATCTATCTATCTATCCATCTATCTATCCATCTCATTATCTATCCATCTATCTATCTATCTCTATCTATCTATCTATCTCTATCTATCCTCCCATCTCAGTTTTCATTATCTATCTATCTATCTATCTATCTATCTATCTCAGTTTTTATTATCTATCTATCCATCCATCTATCTATCTATCCATCTCAGTTTTCATCCATCCATCCATCCATCTATCTATCTATCTCAGTTTTCATCCATCTATCCATCCATCTATCTATCCCATCTATCTATCTATCCATATCCATCCATCCATCTCAGTTTTCATTATTTATCTATCCATCCATCTATCTATCCATCTATCCCAGTTTTCATTATTTATCTATCATCTATCTTCATCTATCTATCTCATCCATCTATCTCATCTATCTATTCTTCTATCTATCTTCCATCCATCTATCTATCTATCCATCCTATCTATCTATCTATCTATCTCAGTTTTCATTATCTATCTATCCATCTATCTATCTATCTATCCATCTATCCATCATCCATTCCATCTATCTCAGTTTTCATTCTATCTATCTATCTATCTATCTATTTTCATTATCCATCTCTATCTCTCAGTTTTCATTATCTATCTATCTATCTATCTATCTTTTCATTATCTATCTCTATCCATCTATCTATCCATCTATCCATCTATCTCAGTTTTTCATTCATTATCTATCTATCTATCTATCTATCTATTATTTATCTCATCCATTTTCATTATCTATCTATCTATTTTTCATTATCTATCTATCTAATCTATCTCAGTTTTCATTATCTATCTATCTATCTCTCTATCTATCTATCTATCTCAGTCTTTTCATCCATCTATCTCATCTATCTATCTATCCATCTATCTATCATCCATCTATCATCTTTCATTATCTATCTATCTATCTATCTATCTATTATCTCAGTTTTCATTATCTATCCTATCTATCATTGTTATATCTATCATCTATCTATCTATCTATCTCAGTTTTTCATTATCTACCTATCTATCTAATTATGTTATCTATCTATCTATCTATTTAATTATGTTATCTATCTATCTATCTATCTATCTATCTATCTATCTATCTATCTATCTATCTATCTATCTATCTATCTCAGTTGTTCATTATCTATCTATCTATCTATCTATCTATCTATCTATCTATCTATCTATCTATCAAAATATGGCCGTATCACTTAGTGCAGAAATATATGAATTTAGTTTAGTCTGTCATAATGGCAGCGTAATATGGAAACCCCCATCAGGATAAAACTTTAACCATACAATTTCTAATTATTGTACAGTCGCCACCTCTAACAGTATAAGTATTTTAGATATCTATTTTTAGTCAGCGTAGCATCACTGAAATTTGGCTGAAGATTGTAGAGATCCAAAGCTCTATACAATCTCAAAGCTCAATTGTTTTGATAAAATATTTAATATCCAGACAGTCAGACAACCCTTTCTGTTGGGTAACAAATAGTAAGAAACAGTATATTGTCATTCGTCTGAATTTGCTTTTATTTTTTTTTATAAAAAAATACTTATGTTTTATCAGTTTTGGGATTAGTTTTTTTCTACTGAAATCTTTCAATGTGAATTGTTAAGTTTTACCGATTCACTTGTCTGGAGATGTGCAGCGAATTTTCTAGGAAATGAATAAACAGATTTGTTGGAAATGAATAAGCAGTTCATTGCTGTATTTTTAGAAAAATAATTCGTGCACATCAATGTTTTTATTTTTCGGAATTGGACATGAATGTGTCATTTTTTAAAAAAATAATAATATTAAAACTGTCCACTTATTTGACTCCCAAATTTCATCCTCGAATAAATAAATTTCTTTCTTTGTTTTGTTTATAAAGGACTAGGATTCATAAATAAGGAAAAGATAAGATTGAAATAATATGAAGATGATTTGGTTTGCTGAGAATGTAGGAAGTCAAGTATAGCTGATCATGTATAGATGATAAAGCGGGTGGGTCACCTAGCCACGTGGAACGATATCAGAATAACAGCTGAAGCGCAACATTGAATATTGAGGCAATTCAAAGAATCAACTGACATGCGAAGCTCTAATAACTTCATCAGTAGGCCAAACATAGAATGAAATCCCATATGTGAACCTTTGATAAATGTTAGATTTAAAGTTTCAAAATTAAATTACCTGATTGTTCTAGTGAATATAAGTTTTCATAATCTCTATTGTAGTTGGAGCCCTAGGATTGGTTGGAAAAGATTCCAGTATACTAATTGAAGGGATTCCTGGAAGCCCATGCCTTAAAGAAATACAAAAAATTGTTCTCACAAGTACAGCCCGCACCTTAAAGAGGGCTTTATCCATGTGAAATATTTTTTGTCAGTGGAAAGTGTCATGATGCCATTTCTAACCTTAGGTCTCTGGGCGAGACCCGGAAAGAAATGTGTAAACGCCAGAAATCAAAGGAAATAAAAAAAAAAAAAATAATGATAATAACAAAGTAAAAGAAAACCTTATCTCAATGTTTGCCAATGTCCGCAGGGACATCGTGTGATATAAAAAAAAACTCCAATTCGGAAATCGATCAGATAAAACTAAATATAAGACAGAATCCAATAATCTATCGCTCAAAAAATAAAGAGATGAGATATAAATAAGATGACAGGGGATGAGGTAAAAACTAAAAATAAATGAGATACGAAATAATAAACTCTCAGGAAATAAAACTGAAGTATCTACCTGTGACATCAACAACTGCGATTATCCAGATTATGTCACTGAAGATGTGTCAGACGACATGAAATCACCGAAGCGAAAAAAAAAACACCATTCAAGTACTCAGCAGAGTAACTCGCATAAAAATGTCAGACAGAGACCAGCTCCCAAAAATTCATATGATAAAAACCCAATAAACATATTGTGCAAATATACATCTCTGCCCTACAAACACTGTTAGCGAGCAAACAACTGGGAAACATCACAGAAGTAAATTATGTCATATACGCAACAGCTTTAGCTTCTACTGAGGAAGTTTTGGATCAAGACAATAAAATGGTCAACAGACAAAAAGAGCCATTTTGGAAGGCAAAATTGATGCGAGAAATAAAGGAAATCAAATGTGTGTTATTGATAGTAGAGAAGATCTCAAGAAACCAAAATATCTTAACAGAAAGATCAAGCAGGAAGATCAAGCAGAGATATAAAATTAAATTGCTAAATGACATTCTACCAATCAAGAAAATACTAAAACAGAAACTGCAGTTAAAGTCACAGAGAACAAGACGATATGAAAAGCGTTGTTGGTTCTATGGCGAAATGTGATATTCCAAATGAACCTAAAGAAATTTTACGTGGAAATTGGAAAAGCAGTTAAAGGTGTCAAAAAGCCACCGTCTATTGAAAAAGTAGAGAAATTTTTTGAGGATATTTGGAGTAGCTCAAAGGAATATAGCTCCAATACAGAATGGATCCAACGTGAAGAACGCATGATGGAGGAAACTCTCCAAGAATGGGGAAATATATCCACGACTAATATTATGCAAGCTCTCAAGAAATCAAGAAAATGGAAATCCTTAGGAATTGACAAGGTACCCAATTTTTGGATCTATCTTCTCTCATCAATCTATAAACCCTTGCACAAACATTATCAATGCTTATTAATAATGCCAATAAAGTCCCAAAATGGATCACTTAAGGTATAGCATATTTCCTGTCTAAAACGTGTGAAACAGTTGATCCGAAAAATTATAGGTGAATAACATGTCTGTCCATCACGTATAAATTGATCACGTCTGTCCTGAAGAAATGTACTTACTCTTTTCTCGAAGCAAACAACAGTCTTCCCCTGAAACAGAATCGATGCAGGATGGTTGTAAAGATTAACTATTTATCAATAAAATGATCCTGGAAAACTGCAGGAAAAGTGGTAGAAATCTAAGCACAGCATCGATAGAATACCGTAAAGCATTAGATAATGCATATCCAAATGAAGGAGTAAGTAAGAAAAGAATATTACTAATGATACAACTCAGCTCAAAAGAATTGTCATAGATCAAAGAAGATCTATTTAATCTGTCTTGTTCTCTGCTTCATGAAAAAAAGTGCGGGCTGACTCCTCACTAGCCCTTAAGTACAGCGCTGTGGATGTGTTGAGACTATTAAAACAAGTGAAGGGCAAAGGTTCGAGTAATTCAATGTAAAATAAAGATGAAATGAAGAATATGATTGCAATGAGACTATCCTTTCAAGAATAATACTTATAGAAAATATCTTGTCGCCTTTCGGCCTGAAACCTCTACTCCCACGGAAATTGGTATCACTACTTAGCTAAGGTAGCTATTGTCTACAAACGCACGATGTCCAATATTCATTCACCTACCTTTCAATATCCTCACCTACCTGAAGTAAATATTTACACTCTAAGATAAAAAAAAAAAATGTGGGTGAAGGAAAGTAAAAAAAATAAAAAAATAAATAAATAAAAATAAAACAACATCCAGCTCTTGTTCACCTGCTTAAACACACCTGAACAATTTTAACACCTGAACAACTCTAACACCTCTGTATACTTGGTGGGTGGGGTAAAGCCAGTTCTATTGCCCGAGGGGATTAGATCGAGGTTTGCCGGCACAGTCATCCAAGTAATGTACGTTGTGGTAAGGACATGCTATACATGCAGCTGTTGATAAATCATTCTTGTAAGGTGCATTAGTGCAAAAGAGTCTGAAAAAGAACCAGAAAACATACGACACGCTGGCTTTGTATATTACGAGCTTTTTATTTCGTTTTTTCTCTCTCTCTCTGTCTAGTATGTTTCTTTCTTTCTATTGCAGCCTATTTCTTACTAACTTTCTTTCCTTCGTTCTTTCTTTCCTTCGTTCTTTCTTTCTATCTCAGTTTGTTCATATCTATCTATCTATCTATCTATCTATCTATCTATCTATCTATCTATCTATCTATCTATGTTCATATTATCTATCATATCTCATCTATTGTTCATCTATCTATCTATCTCAGTTTGTTCATATCTATCTATCTATCTATCTATCTATCTATCAATCTGAAATAGAATTGCAAAGATGCAAAAGACACGCGGACATCAGAGCGTTTTATCTCTCTCGCTTTATCGCTCACTCGCTCTAGTATGTTTCTATTTCTAATTCTCTATTCCCTCTTTCTATTTCAGCGTATTTCTATCTATCTATCTATCTATCTATCTATCTATCTATCTATCTATCTATCTATCTATCTATCTATCTATCTCAGATTGTTCATATCTATCTATCTATCTATCTATCTATCTATCTATCTATCTATTTATCTATCTATCTATCTTAGATATAATTGAAAAGATGCCAAAGACAGGCGGATATCAGTAGCCTAAGAGTGATATGAACAGATTGATATATATGGATAGATAGGAGAGAGAGGCTGGTTGATATATATATATATATATATATATATATATATATATATATATATATATATATATATATAATTGCGTGTGTGTACTTTATAAATTCAATTTATGGCAAAAGGATATTTGCCAAAAATAGCGGCTAAATAAATAGACTGCTCAATGCAGTTGTCAAAAAACGAAAATCTAGGCAATTTAACATAAAATATTGCAAACAATGATCTCTAGGCTACCATGGTTTCTAATATATATATATATATATATATATATATATATATATATATATATATATATATATGAGGAGAGGTGATAGTTAAATATGAACAGACTGAAATTGAATGCTGGGCATGTCTATCATAATCAAGCGGTCACAGTACCTTGGTGAACGGAAACTCTTTGCCCATTCCATAATTTTCTCTTTGTATTCAATGAAGAAAAGGTATTGGTCTATCCTAACGTTTTTTGCAAAGTCCTGATTCTTGTAGGCGTTTAAACTGAATATCTTATATTACTTCTTGCTTTATTTCAGGCTTTCATTATTACATCTATCTATCTATCTATCTATCTATCTATCTATATATCTATATATATATATATATATATATATATGGCAAGTATATATATGCTACATTTATGGGTAAACCTAACGAATCAAATCTAGTTTACGGTTTCAACGCCATCTTCCGGCCATATCTGTTGTTTATATATATATATTTAAAGATATTTTTGTAGGTACAAAATTTAATGATCGAAATAAAAGTGTAAAATTTAATATTACAAGACATATTAAAAGAATATTAAATAATAAAAAAAAAATCAACAACAAGGGGGAGGGAGCAACCGGTTTCGCTCCTGCTCATCAGGCTTCCATGGAATATTAGTGCTTGAACCTTTTATATTATATTCTTACTCTGTTCTGGACATTATTGAGTTCTACCTGGATTCTATCTTCTTGGGAATCTGTCTATCTATCTATTCATCTATCTATCTATCTATCTATCTATCTATCTATTGACCACTAATATTATCTATCTATCTATCTATCTATCTATCTATCTATCTATATATATATATATATATATATATATATATATATATATATATATATATACTTGTTTGGATTGATGATAGTTTGACGCTTTATGATAGTCAGACAAAGATTTGTCTGACGATCGCAAAAGCGTGAAACCCAGGATCACAAACTCACATCAATCCCACCAAATATGTTAACTCTGTCTCTGATATTGAATGCTTTCTAATAAGTACCGCGAATATAATATATAAATAATGATATATATATAAAATATTATACATATATATATATTTATATTTATATACACAAACTTTTCCCACACACACACACACACACACACACACACACACACACATTTCTTTCAAACACTTTAAGTGCTACTGTTTAAAATAATTCGTCTTATGAATGAGCGTGTCTTTGACATTTGTTGTGTTTGGTCGATAGTCAAATGCCGGAGTAACAACTGACGATAGCCTCGTTTTGAAGAACCTGTTAAGGAAAAAGACGGACAAATGATGTCCACATGTTTGCTTACCGAAGACAGGAAGAACGCAACTGGTTTGTACATACCTGCAACGAAAGAGAAAAAGAAAACAAATCAGGAAACGTAATTACTCAACTTTTTCGATTATCGAAAGAACAATAAAAAATACGGTAAATTGGTAAAAGAATGTTTGGTTAGCATTTGGAATGGTCTTACATTCATTTAGTTTTACATTAGAAGTAGGAATTTACAAAACAGACACAAAAAAATGCCACAAGTAATAAAGAGTGCGGTAGAAATATTTCCAACAGAAGTCAGTCAGTTATGTGCTTAGGCGATCAAGTATCTTTCGATACATGAGTGACAGATTTTTTTCCCGCAGTAGGTTGCCATTTCCTTCTGCAGTAGACCAGTTGCTATCCAAGGCTATAGAACCCGGTCTGTACTGCTATTTACGGGGGGTGGGGAAGAAGATGATTAAAAACTTTCCCAAGGGTCAGTCAGTTATGTGCCATGCGTGATACACGCTTAGGCGATCATGTATCTTTTGATACATGACTGACAAGGAAGATTTTTTCCCGCAGTAGGTTGCCATTTCTTTCTGTGGTAGACCAGTTGCCATTCAAGGCTATAGAACCCGTTCTGTCCTGCTATTTACTCATAGCTGGGAGGGGGAGAAGATGATTCATGCCTTTCCCAAGGGTATTAGTATGTAAGTGAATGTAATGGATTCGAGTGGAATTCGAACTCTGCTCAATCCGAGCCACTATCCATTATTCCACCGTGCCTCCCCTACAGAAATACCTCCCACATTTCCAGTATGAATAGATTCGAAAAGCGTCACCGCGTCCTTGTTGGTGACAAGCCTCTTTCTGCTTCATCACTGTTTCCTTGGAAAGTGGTCAGACACATTACATTCCTTGGTTCGACCCGTTCTACCCTTCAAGGTGAGGGCGTGCCATGCTACGCACATTATAGCGAAACACCTTCATTCCCTCAGTATTTTGTCGCTGAGAAGTAAGTTCAACTTGAGAAACTTCCTCCTTCGAAAACATTGCCGTATGGAACCGACTCTCAACACGATATTTTCTCGTTGCAGCCAATGACGATTTTATTGAATACATTTACTCTTTAGCATTTCAAGACATTTTTGTATAATTTTGTTCAATATATCTGTTAAATTGAGATGTCAGTGTTATTTTAAATGTTTGCTTAATTTAGTAGACAATTTATCCATCGCACCCTGTATATATATATATATATATATATATATATATATATATATATATATATATATTTTCTGAGAGGAGGTATTATGTACATTATTCGGACTATTATCCTCATCTTTGTCGCCATATTTATTACAACGTTTCAGCCGTTGTACGCTCCAGCCTCCTTCAGAACCCATTAAACATTAACCGTGGAATTAGAATAGTCTACCTCAGTGAGCGAAATAAAGGGTTCAGTTCGACATTCCAACCACCTGAAGAAGGCTGAAGCGTACAACGACTGAAACGTTGTAATAAATATTGCGACAAAGATGAGGACAATAGCCTGAATAATGTAAATATATATATATATATATATATATATATATATATATATATATATATATATATATATATATATATAAATCCTAAAGAACTGAATAACTTATTTAGTTTTCACCTAAACAGATCTTTTTAGGGTATTCTGGCCAGATTACTCTGAAGATCCGTTTAGGTGAAACCTAGGTGTTGTTCCTGGTTCTTTAGGGTTTATTTTATTTATCCCTGCTTTACTTAGCGTATTGAGCACTCTACGTTTTAGCTTTATTATTAACTTGGGTTTTTTCTTTTCACTAAAAACTTAAAGCACTGGACGATTTGTTTCGCCCTATTCCGATGTTTTTTCCTCGGGAACCAATTTGTTTTGATGGACTTACAAGTTGTGCTATCCGAGGTTTTTTACCAACCAGTAATACCATTAGTATATATATATTATATATATATATATATATATATATATATATATATATATATAACTATAACATTAGGTGCTCGACTGACGCGGATACTACCTTAGAGATTTGGCCAGGGAGATCCAAGAGAAATTCGCATTTCACCATATAGCTAAATTCATCTTTATTTGATTTTCTCTTCGCAATATTAGAATGGAAATCGAGCTGAATTGCGATAAAACATAAAACAAGAACTATTACGATGGGGAGAAAAAAAAGTCAAAATTAAACTCTGTAATTACTATATTCCAAGGTTGGCTCAGATTCGAACAGCAAATGTTGAGAAAAGAAAGCAACTCGATACTGGCGTCTACTTGCGGCGTATTTGAATAGGTTCGCAGATGGAATTAATGGCTAATAATTGAGTGGCCTGGTAAAGGGAAAACAATGCTAAAGAAGCGATATCCAATCATAGAACATCTGAGAGAGAAGCGTGTGGCAAGCGTAGCTAAGGTCACCGTTATATCATTGTACAGCCGAGAGGATTATATTTCCGCTTCCGTTCACTTCAAATTTGGAAAGGAGATTGCACTTGTACGGGTTTTCTTTCTTTTCGACATTTTTTTTTTCTTTCATTCTCTTAGAATAATTCCTGGTAGGAATTTAAGTGCTTTTTCTCTCTTTATTTCTTTCTGTTTACGTTGCTTGTTTTTTTCGTTTTTTAAACTTTTCTAATCTTTCTATTTTCTTTGTCTGTGTGTGCTTTTATTTTTTTGGCTTTACTCATTCTTTTTTTTTTGTATTTATCTTTCACAAATTCAATTATTTTCATTTACCTGTCATTCGTTCTTTCTTTAATTTATTTTTCTTATCTTCTTGTTCTTTTAAATCCAATTTTTTTTTTCATTCTTGTAGAACATTGTTTATTTTAGAAAATCGTGCGTTTTTGCCTCTCTTTCTTTCTTTCTTTCTTTCTTTCTTTCTTTTAGAATATGTTTTTTAAATCGTGCGTTTTTGCCTCTCTTTCTTCCTTTCTTTCTTTCTTTCTTTCTTTCTTTCTTTCTTTCATGCTAAAGTTTTCCTTTAAATAAAATCCATTGATGGTTTCATTCATTTTCTTTCTTTTGCTTTTCTTTATTTTTTCTGTTTCACTTCCATGTACGATTCTTTATTTAAGCTTTTCAATAAATCAATATTAGCTGTGCGTTTTTTTTTTTTTTGAGTTTTTACTTCCTGTATTCTTTCCTTCCTTCCTACCTTCCTTCTTAACTTGTATCCTTCCTACCTCACTTCCTTCCTACCTTCTTTCCTTCTTACCTCCCTTCCTTCCTACCTTCTTTCTTTCCTATTTTCTTTCCTTCTTACCTCACTTCCTTCCTACCTTCTTTCCTTCTTACCTTCTTTCCTCCCTACCTCCCTTCCTCCCTTCCCTTCCTTCCTACCCTCTTTCCTTCTTACCTTCTTTCCTCCCTCCCTCCCTTCCGTCCTACCTTCTTTCCTTCTTACCTTCTTTCCTCCCTACCTCCCTACCCCCTTTCTCCCTACCTCTCTTCCTTCCTGCCTTCTTTCCTTCTTTCCTTCCTACCCCCTACCCCACATCCTTCCTAACTTCATTCCTTCCTACCTTCTTTGCTTCCTACCTCCCTTCCTCCCTACTTTCTTTCCTTCTTACCTCACTTCTTCCCTACCTTCTTTCCTTCCTTCCTACCCACCTTCTATCCTCCCTTCTTTCCGACGTCCATTCATTCCTACCTCCCTTCCACCTACCTTCTTTCCTTCTTACCTCATTTCCTTCCTACCTCCCTTCCTTTCTATCTCCCTTCCTTCCTCCCTTCCTCCCTACTTTCTTTCCTTCTTACCTCACTTCTTCCCTACCTTCTTTCCTTCCTTCCTACCCACCTTCCATCATCCCTTCTTTCCTACGTCCCTTCATTCCTACCTCCCTTCCACCTACCTTCTTTCCTTCTTACCTCATTTCCTTCCTACCTCCCTTCCTTTCTATCTCCCTTCCTTCCTACCTACCTCCCTACCTTCTTTCCTTCTTACCTCACTTCCTTCCTACCTCCCTTCCTTTCTACCTCCCTTCCATCCTACCTACCTCCCTTCCTACCTTTTTTCCTTCTTACCCCACTTCCTTCTTACCTTCTTTCCTTCCCACATCCCTTCCTTCCTACCTCCCTTCCTTCTAACCTGCCTTCCCATCTGCCTTCCCCCACTAATTCAATTACTCCTCTTTACCTTGTTTGTTCATCGTTTTATTTGTTTTTCCTTAACTTCGCCGTTGTTATTTTTTAATTCTCTTTCTTTCTTTCTTTCTTTCTTTCTTTCTTTCTTTCAAATATAATATTTCTTAGCTTTCGTTTAATAGTCTATTTTTCTTCATCTTTATACACTCTTTTAAAATGATTAAACAATTTCTTACATATTTTTGCAATGATTACTTTATTTTTGCCAATGCTTTTTTTACTTCCCATATATATATATATATATATATATATATATATATATATATATATATATGTGTGTGTGTGTGAAGTGAAGTGGACACTAATGTCAACGACAAACGATTTCAATGTCGATCTTGGTGTTGACCTCTCTGTCTACTTTATATTTACATGTACATACGCTCTCTTTTGAAATTAAACGCTTTTACCCATAAATATACCATGCCATAAATACATATTTGATCATATATATATATATATATATATATATATATATATATATATATATATATATATATTATTGACCGTTTAAGTAGCATATTGTAGAATTTCAGATGACAACTTTTCCAACGTATATCGTTGATAATTATTCTGATAGATTCATCCCAAGAGACACTGCTTTGGGGTACAGACTTGCGATCACAATTCAAGTCAACTATTATCTATCCTACATATCCTCATGACTTGCAGTTCTTACCATCTCCTCTTACGCCCATATTACAACCTTATTCACTCATCCTGTAAAGCTACGATAATATTACTCATAATATTTTTTTATATTTTACATTGTTTCCTTTTATCTATCTATCTATCTATCTATCTATCTATCTATCTATCTATCTATCTATTTCAGTCGGTTCGTATCTATCTATCTATCTATCTATCTATCTATCTATCTCAGTCTGTTCGTATCTATCTCAGTCTGTTCGTATCTATCTCAGTCTCTTCGTATCTATCTATCTATCTATCTATCTATCTATCTATCTATCTATCTATCTATCTATCTCAGTCCGCTCGTATCTATCTCAATCATTATTAATTCGATTACTATCTTTCTTTTAAAATACTTCTTTTTTCAGAAATTTAAGTGTTTTTCTCTCTCTTTCTTTCGGCCGTTCGTTTTGTCTTTCTTCCTTTTCAGAAAACCAAATACTTTTCTTTCCATTTCTTTTTGTTTCCTTTGCTTAGAAAATTTATTACAAGTGCATATAGACGCAAAAATGCATTAAATACATTTATTCTCCTATGTTTGAATAAATGTTCCCAACTTCTATTTTTGGAACTAGAGAATGAATTTAGAAATAATATATTCCTTCAGGACGTTGGCCATAGGACACCCCACTGATTCCTTTTTTTATCATCAGCGGACTGATATGACTTCTTGGGAAAGATGGTGGATTGGATATCCGCAATGTTTTTAACGGTATTGAATTTTGCGTTGTTCTTTCCTTTCCTATGATTGGCTACCCACTCAAGAAGAATGGCTACCCAACTCAAAAGACTGTCAACATGCTCAAAAGACTGGCCACACACTCAAAAGATTCTCTACTTACTCAAAAGACCGGCTACCCACTCAAAAGACTGGCTACATGCTGAAAAGACTGGCCACACACTCAACAAGATTCTCTACTTACTAATAAGACTGGCTAACCACTCAAAAGACTGGCCACAAATTCAAAAGACTGGCCACACACTCAAATGACTCGATACCCATTCAAAAGACTGGCCACACACTCAAAAGACTGGCCTCGCACTCAAAAGAAGAGATACCTACACAAAAGACTAGCTACACACTTAAAAGCCTGGTTACATACACAAAAGACAGGCCACCGACTCAAAAAGATTCACTACTTACTCAAAAGACTGGCTACCCACTCAAAAACTAGCCACATACTCAAAAGACAGGCCACACACTCAACAGACTCTCTACCCATTCAAAAGTTTGGCCACGCACTCAAAAGACTTGCCACACACTCAATTGACTCGCTACCCATTCAAAAGACTGTCCACACACTTGAAAGACTGGCTTCGCACTCAAAAGAAGAAATACCCACTCAAAAGACAGGCTACACACTTAAAAGCCTGGTTACACACTCAAAAGACTAGCTACCATAGTTTGGAGTAGAAGAAATGGATTCATCCCTTCCACAAGGCCATAGTGCGAATTTGAAACCAATATTTATTTTTTAAACTGGCCCAATATCCGTCTTCCGAACAGAGAAATGTTCTCTTAGAAGTTACCTTACCTCTCTAAAATATCTGTAAAATCAACGTTTTCAGCAAGACATTTATCTTTCAAAAATTGTTTTTTTTCATGAAAAGTATAGTTTTATTTTCTATTCTCGATGGAGCTATATAGAGCTGACCACGATAGAAACATTTGAAGAATTATCTAATGCTTATAATAATA